TTTGTAAAAAAAAAAAAAAAAAAAAAAAAAGACATGGTTTCCCTCTAAATCATCTGAAGATATTTCCTTAAGCTTGTTTTCTATGACTGCTTTTGTGTATAATGTGTGAGTTTGTGATTTTTTTTTTTTTTTGAGGACCAGATCCTGCATGCAGAAGCTTGCTGTATCACTGTGATTCTGTGAGTAAATCTAGCTATCCTGCTGTGAGCATGGTAAAAGTCATAAAAACATTAGCTTTATTATGTTTTGAATGAGAACTGTGATGCCAGGGTCAAGTATTGGTCAATCTCTTAGCAAGATCCAAGAGTCTGGTCTCTTTACAATACTTCTACATTGTAAAGTGAAAGTGCATGTTCTTGACTGTTCTCAAATACCCGATTCTGATGATAACTTTATATTCCACCTTCTGGATTATGATTTTACTTCCACTCTATTAAAAAAAAGATCTTAAAAGCTTTTATTTGCAATTTGGTCTTATCAATATTCTTGCAAATATTGTCAGTAAATCTGTAAATTAAATAATGTCCACTGAAACATCTTCGTTTTGCTAGGTCTGCAGCATTTCTTTTGTTACTGTGGTCATTGACATTGAGAGGCTCACTCCAGTAAGTCCGTAACCAACACATCACCTGACCCAGACCTGCATCTGTAAAATGTGTGCATCAGTAATCTAACAATCCTCTGCATAAGAACACATACATGTGTGTAGGATTTACCTATGACTGTAGGTATGGCTGGTAAGGTAAAAAGTACGGTGTAAGGTGATCTTACAGTGGGAAGATGGACTAGATGATCTTTGGTGGTCCCTTCCAACCCAAACCATTCTATGATGGTACTCTAAAAACTGTAAGCAGTTTATTCAGTGTATTGATACACAAATTTTATCAGTTTTCTGGGAAAATTACTTTTTCTGATAGAAACTATTACAATGTGAAATTCTGTATGTGACAGTATTACAGTCAGAGCCACTTGGGTGTGAACCTTTGTGAAAGAAATCGTGTTGGCTTCAGTCGGAGAATGTGTAAGTAGACTGGTTGTTTGGGTCTGGTTTTTCTGCCTCTGAAGTATTTTACTCATACAGTGCAATAATTTAGTTAAAAATCTGCACACACACACCCTTACCTCCAGAAAAATAATAGTAAGAGTAATTTTGTGTATATACATATACATACACGCAGAGGGTAGCTCATATGGAAGAGTTAATCATTTTTCTTGGGTTGTGATTCTTGGATGGTATCTGAGAATACAACACTGCTTCACTCTCTGAATTCCTCGCTGAGGCAAAGGAATCCTCATGACTCTCTGGAAGCGAGAACCTGGGAAGGGGTGCTTGTAACACCTGTTTTGGGTCCTCCCTGAGGAAAAAAAAAGTTAGGTGGAGTTTTTGAAAGTCTCTTATGACTTAATTTTTATTCTGAATTAAATGTAATAGCAATAGCATTAATAATTATGCAGTAAATATGTTCACTGAAACTAAGGAACTTTCTCTCCTAGCTTCATTTGGGATGAGCTGCTATCACAGAGATGGTTATGATGTAAACCAAAGGTCTCTCTTAGGTATTGGTCCTGTGACAGGAGCTCTGAAGCAGCAAAGCAGGACTGGATGGCTGTGGGTCTAGAGTACGCTTGTATGTTTTGGTGTAATGCAATTGCACAGGTGGTCTGGGCAGGCCAGTTTTGGAATGGTCTGAAAGCGATTGCTTTGTCTTATTGGGCAGTCACAGCATGGGAACTAAGGACTCCTTGGTATCAAGAATATCCTTGCCAGCAGGTTGGGGTAGAACATCATGATGTAGCTCATGGACAGGTAAAGGATTTAATACACTGTACTTCCCAGCGTTTTGTACTAATGTGAATCTATCACTTTAGAAAGAAAAGCAAAGGAGCACTGAAAATAGAGCTCAAAAAATCTTTATATTGTTTGCATATTTTTTTACCTCAGACCTATTCAGACTTTGAAGTTTTCTAGGTGAATTAGTTTGCTATTAAATGTAATGACACTGTATACAATAATACAACCTCCTGGGCTTCTTAATTCCACCTGTCTTCCAGAAATATGCCACTTCACAATGCACTGAAGTGATAGCTGGAGCAAAAGTTTATAATCTCAGTGTGTTATGAGTCCCTTCTATGCTGCCAAATACTGTGTTGTAGAGAAAGCACAGTAAGTTAGAGTTAGGCTGCCATGGACTGAAAGGCAACATGCTTTCAAAACAGTTCATCAGTCTGAGAAAATACTTAGCACTTCGCTTCAGAAAAGCATAGCTCTTTGGGCGCTTTCCATGTGGGCCTGGTGGAAAAGGACTGGTAGATAATCCTTCACCTTCCATTTTGCTGAGCCAAGTACAGAGGAAGTTGGCCAGGACGTCTCAGCTGCTGCAGTCCATAAAGGAGAGGCCAGGAGGAAACATGTTTTGTCTTTTCACTTGTCTGCTCTGGAAAGCAAATACATATGCTAAAAATATGGGGAGAAAGGGAGCCGATGATTAGCATCGACATCAGTTTGATCTGGCTAAGTTATTTCTGCATCTACTTCTTGTGGATTTTCATGGTCCGTGCCATCACTCTGGTACTTGAGAGCAGGAAGACTGAAACCCCGCTAGTGATTTGGTTATTAAAGCTGGTATTTAGATGTATTTCCACATGTTACCTTCAGAATAATATGGTGCATTTGTAGTATTTTGTGCCCTACTAGGTTGAGTAAGGAGACTCTCACAGTCATTACCAAATCTGATCTCTGAACAGAACACAAGTTGTGGGGTTTTGTGTAGAGCATGGATTTGACTCAAGGGTTGGAGATATGCAAATCCACTTGAGTTGAAATTTGTAATTTCCAGAACTGCTTAATGCTTCTCAGATAGAGTCTTAATCTAAGGGATCAAAGAAGTTTGAATATAGTGTTCATGTATCCAACAAATAATATACACTTTTAGATTATGTAATTTTTCTGTATGTTTAAAAGTGGTACAGGAAAGAAACTCTTACTCCTTTGTTCCTGAAATATTTGTTTCTTGTCTGGATGTATAGCAGATGTACTAAATATAACCTGTCTATGATTTAATGCAGCACACGTGTAGGAAATGAAAATAACATTAATACATGTTGTTATTTTAATATGGACCTTTAGGCAAAAGGAAGCACTGTTCTGGTCTGGACTGGTTACGCTGTGGTTTAAATAAGAGGTTTGAGTTTCCAGGACTGTCAGTTTGGCAAAGTTTATTCGACCTCAATTTGTGATGCAAGACTCCTGAAAATAATGGCCTCACTAACATTTGTTCTGTATTTCTGTTAATAGGAGGAATGCTTTTTGAATTTAGAAGCTCCTATTTCAAGAGTGTGTGGCTATGACACTCCTTTCCCTCACATCTTTGAGCCTTTCTACATCCCAGACAAATGGAAATGCTATGATGCTCTTCGAAGAATGATTAACTACTGAGCAGTAGCACAGGTGAGAAATGGTGTCTTACACCGACAGTTTGCCTGTAAGGATTCTGACAGAGCGGTTACAAGGTTTGGAGCTAAAGTACTACTCTCTTATTTATTTATTTATAACAAGAATTGCCTCTTATGGCTTAGAGCCTTCAGTCTTAAAGGCATCAGAATGTTTTTAAGCAGTGCCATTGAAGTCAGTGTTTAAAATCAATTACCTTGCTTAATTAATCTGAAAATGAAATGTCTTGTATCCTGAGAAGTGAAAGGAATGTAAAGTGAAAGGTGAAAGGAATAGTAATGCACAGACTACATTTTCACCCGTATTAGAACACTTACGATTATTTCATAGGCAGCATATTGTTACGTGTTATAATTTTTCACTCTTCAGGGTGGCCTGTGATCCTGTGAGGTACTAAAGCGGCCCAATTTACACTGAATATAGGCACTGCATCGCAAACATACACAGAGCATTGAAAATAAGTGAAGTACCTGTAGCATCTGACAGTTCTGTTCAAATAAAATAAGGCTTACACTTAATATTTATTCTAAAAATAATTTTTCTTTATAATCTTTTATTTGATTTGGCCATGCTTGAAGATTTCTGTTTGCAGAGCCCTTCAGGCACTGAGTCTGTGAAGTAATATAGATTTCTATCACTTGCCTATTAATCACAGTCTGTAACATCTTTTCTCTGTGTTTCATTGTAATATAATTCCACGTAGCATTAGACTGTGCAGTCTTGTGATCATGACACGTTGCATACCAAATTGAGACAAATCTACCGGACTTGACTCCAGGTGGACGGGCCACCTTTACTTAACCCGGAAAAGGAACATATATAAATCTTATATACTGGGAACTGATATTGTACGTTGCTGTGGGAGAAATTCTGGTGTTTAATGACCAGAGATTGATAGTTAGGAAATGTGTCGACGTACGGTAGTTTTCGACATTGAGTCGTGATGGGTCTTGTACATCAGAACTCAGAGGAAATGAAGCAGACAGCTGGCCTGCTTTTCTGTGGAAGAGGGAGCTCCTGGAGCAGGTGGGCAGAGGGTTTTAGCTGTGGACACCACGGAGGGGAGGGCCCAGGGGGGCCCCAAGTCAGCCCTACCCTCTTGTGGCCACTCTGCCTATACGTTAAGCTGCAAATTAAATTTAGGGCCAGGGATGGAAGATTGGCAATACCTTAATGTTAATCATCTCGTTTGTATGGATACTTACTTGTAGGACGACTTTTTGCATTTCGCTGTCTCTGTTTCCCTCAGTAGCTGATAGTGGAGTTGCTGTGTGGGAAAGGGGAACGCTACCGGTGAAGCAGTGTCTCTGAAAAATAGTGTAGTTCCACTTACACTGTTTCTCCAATAACACCCGTTATTGACATACCAGAGTATTTCCTTGGGCTTAAAATGGAAGAATGTTGTGATCTGTTTTGTAGAGTATGTGGTAGATGCTGTCTTTTTCACGACAGTTGTCCTTGCCTTTTACCCGAGTTGAACTAAATGTATTGAACATTTATTTTTCTTTTTTGTTTGGCACCTCTGTAATACAGTCAGTGAGGCTGTCCTACAGAGAACTTCTTTCAGATGAGTGACTGGGCCATGCTAGGTAGCCTCTAATGAATTCCTTTCCAAAGGAAACCGAAGGACCAAATATTCTTACCTGTGTGTAAGCAGAGGGGGACAAACCGATGACATCTGATGGTTCAGAGAGGTAGTTTAAGCCCCATTCCTCCATAGCATGGTAAATTGAGGGAAATGTGAGAAGAAAATAGCAGGTTCTAGGACTGCAGTGAGCTTGCACACAATCTGGTTTCCACGCTGGAAGTGCACACTAAACCTTGCTGTGAAGGCGATGTGTACTAAAACTTGGAAAAGTTGTCTGCATTCATATTTATGTTTCTCCTGTGGGCTGCACCATGCACAAATATCAGAAGAGGTTAGTAGCCACCTGAAAACGTGGATTTAGCATATCTAGGAGCTGCTTTATTAGGGGCTGTCTGGTAAACAGTGTAAAGACACAGAAAACTGCTTTCTGGTTTGCCTAAAAACGTCCTGATGGTGGGGCCCATAACACCATGTCTTTTGGTTGGTGTGACTAGTTAGTAGGGTTACAGAATGAGCTGCTCAAAGGTTTTTCTAAGAGGGAACCTTAATGTGCCTTGTTGTAAGGCACATTTCAGAGCAGTATTCCCTTAATTTTCTGTGTGCTGTACTAGGTAATTGGTCTTATGAGCTTGGCACAACAGTTACAGGACATCTCCATCCTGCAATCTACTCCGCAGAGTTTGCATATAAGGTAGCGCACTCATGTTTCTGAGAAATGGAAGGATTATTTTACATTTGCTGCTTTTTGTACCCAAAGTAACATTTATCAGTGACATTACTTGCCACCGGTCTGGACTGATGAGGTTAATAAGTTCCAAACCACCTCGCGTGTGGGGAGACAGGGATATCTTTTCTAAGAAATGGTGTTACAGTCAGTGTGGATTTGAGCACAGCCACAGTCCTCGGGATGTTAGAAAAGTTGGGCCCCTTCCCATCCTGCTGCTGGAGAGACAGAGGAGCTACCAGTTCCCCGTGGTGAGGAGCGATGTAGGGCTGGCTTTTGAGTTACAGAAATGACCAAGCTGGCGAAGTTGTTGCTTTGCTTATGCTTGAAGTAGTTTCTGTTACGTGTGGCATGGCTGACTACCTTCTTTTCCCCTCTTAATCAGCAACTTATTGGAAGTTGCTTCTTTGTTTGCTTTTAGGCAGGTTGTGGGGGAAAAACCCCACCTAGTAATAGTTGTCAAATATATCAATGGTATGTATCAGATTGTCCTTTCTAACGTGGCCCGAGATCTCTGTAGTTTGACTGCAGAGCTGCCTGCGACTTTATTTCGTGAAGTCTGCAGTGATGTGGTTCCCTGCCCTTGTTACTGGATGACACCAAGCTGTATAATGTTTCATGGTCTACCACTGTCTGAAGTCCCCTTGAGTCCTGGAAAGGCGTTCCGTATTAAAGCATTGGGGATGCTAACTCCAAACTTATTTTTAGCAGTTAGGGGATGCTTTTCTTTATGTTATTGGCTTGTTGATATCTTTCAGTCCTTACTCACACAAGTAAGTATTTCTTACTTAATAAAGAATAAATGCGTATCTTCTTTAAAAAACCAACCAAACAGCCAACCCAAACCCTCTCAGAAACATGTTTAGCTGTGTGTACAAATATACCTCATACCCTGCAAGGTGCCTGAATTAACTTGCTACAGTGTGTCTGAGTATAATGCAGGGTCTTCAGCCAGATTCTACAGTCAATCATTTCTAAACTTAGCCTTATTATCTTAATGTACATTTGGCTTTATTCAACCTGTGTTGACAGTGTCTCACACATATATAATTGCCTATCTTGAGGTCGACAGTACAGACAGTTTTCCTGCTCAGTGTTTGACAATGCATACTGTATACATCAGCGATGACAGAGGCAAGAGCAAAATCTGTATCTTTCAGCAGCTCTTAGTTATTAAAATTTATAGCTATGTTAGCTATAAGAGAAATAGCTTCCAGGTAAGCAGCTGTGTTCCAGATAACTCTTTGTAATTGGAAAAAAGATAAAGAGAAAAGAAGCCATGAAATTAGGGTGGATGTGCATTTCCTGGATAGCTGGAATGGTGTCTGGCTGCTCACTGGAGGAGGGGAAAAAAATAAAAAAAAAAAAGAAGAAACATAAGAAAACAGCCACATATTTTATAAAATATACTCTTGTAATACAGAAATATATTGAGGAGTGGCTGTAGCACAGAAATGTCAAATGGCCAAGTGCTTTTCTGTTGCCTTTTGCAGCTTTTTCTACCACATTCACATATTCTGTTTTCATGTAAAATTCTGAATTTTAAAGCTGTCCCAACCAGGTGAGAGTTTACCTCCATGAGGGTGTGTGTGCATATATAGAGACACCGTTACTGTTACAAATTTAGTCTCTAAAAATACAAGAGTTATCACACTGAACTTCATTATGGAACTGTTTTATGGAAAGTTTAATCTTGGTGCTTAAAGATTAGATGATGTTAGGGGATGATGGGAGGTTGGTTTAAAATTATTTTTCTTTCGAAGTATGTATCTGAAGTTATATTTCAGTATCAAATATAGTTTGCTCAGAAGAGGTGCTCCTTTTGGGAGAGACTTGCCAGTGACAGCATTGCTTTCCCTTTCTCCACCAGTAAGTTGTGCTGGGAAAGAGGAAGGGACCTGGTAGATACTTCGGTTACTGACTGTCTGTTCTTTGCACTCCTGGGCTGCCTACAGCTTAACTTGAGGCACAGGAGAAACATAATTCCTCTCCTTGTTTGATAAATAAAATATGAGAGACTGTGGAAGATCATTTCTTTTTAACCTGAGGCTAACAACTAGGCTTTTTTCAACACAGAATCCCAAATGTGGCAGGCTAGACTGCCTGTCGTTTATAATGCACTGTCTGTAACCCACTAGAATAAACAACCTCCAGAGGCTTGAGTAGGACACAACGTTCCTGGTTTATAATGTTTTCCTGCTGGATAGCAAAAATTATGCAAATGGCCAGTGAATCATGTCTTATTCACAAGCAGTGAGGAATCCAAGTATAAGATAACACTCTACCAGTGCTGTGCATTAGCCTGTTAAGATGGCTGTTGTAAGTCTACGCTTGCATTCAAACCTTGCTGAGAATTCGTGCAAGATCAGGAGTAATGAAATTATCTTTAAAAAACCCTATAAATAGGAAAAGTATCAACTATAGTTTTTTTTTTTTACAAGACCCCTCTTCACTGTAAAAGCAGATTGATAGTGTATCTATTAGAGCTTTGAAAGAACACTTTGCTTAACATGCTTGAGTGGGATGGAAGACACTTCATCACAAAGTTCTTGCATGAATGGTGGTAATTGGCACTGTCTTGACACTAGGTATCAGTTGCAGCATTTCTGATTTCTGCGTGTCTACCTTGGCAGCTTTAAAAATGGAACATAGTTTTTAATACCGAATAAGTAATTATTTTGTTACAGTTCGCGCACCTTGAGGGTAAGAGGACATTATAAATTTAAAAAGTAAGATTACCATGGAGGGCACTGTATGTTTAAGTTGTGGACATTATTTTCAGCCTTAAGATTTGTAATTTATTTTGTCATCTTCTTCTGCAGAGATGAGAAGAACGACAGGGTAATACAGAAACTGCCTTCAAAACTCTTGACACTTTACTCACATCTTTTGGGTTTGGAATTCACATAGCAGACTGTTTTCTCTGAACTCAACTATCAATACTCATCTTGGCTATTCTTTGGAAAGTTCAAATCCTCCTTAATTATGAAATCAGTGATGGGCAGGTGATTGCTATAATAAGTAGTTTCAGATGTATTTAAAAATATTCCAGATGTTGTACTAATGTTACACATTGCCACGCTTCACTAGGTTACATCTCTAAACCTCACTGTGTAAATATTAGAAGCAGGATTTTATTCAATAAAACATATTGTGCACATGTTGTCTCTTGGTTTTGTTATTGTTTTGGGAAAACCCAAAGAAGTTATTTGAATGTGACCGTATTTTCAACCAAATGAGCCTTAGACAGCCAGACCAGCTTGTGTGTCTGGTCTAACTGAGACCTCCTTTAACCAGTGTCATTAGCTGTCTTTCAGCTGAGTGGCTTCATGTAAAATAGTCCCAAATACTGATTTCCTTTCTGCAGGGGAAAGGAAAACTCCATTTTTCTTGAGAAGGGAGGAGAGATTTTTATTTTTGCTTGTTGCTGTAGGTGAGAGGCTCAATTGGTACATCTTTGCGGCAAAATCTTTGTTGGATTATTTTTGCTCTAGGTATGGAATGTGTCTGCTGCTAAGCACTTGTGCGAAAGGTGCCAATTTGTTGAGAAAAGGTAACAGTACCCTGACAGACTCATGCTAGTGGTGGGAGAAGCGGCAGCGCACATATCATTTTCAGTTGGTGAGGACACAGAGGTACAAAATTACCCAAAAGACTCTACTGTAAAATTGAACCTGAATGTTTATTTTTCCTATGCTAATACAAAGGGCACTGAACATAGCCCTAAGTGTAAAAAGGAGTCCAGCCTTTCAGACTGAGAGCTTCTGAGTTCAGTGGAGGTTTGCTTAACTTTTAATAGTGTCCTTCTTTTCCGTATGACAAGCCAAGGACACAGCAAAGATGCAAAAAATTATCCTCTCTTGTCCTACATTCCAGGACTGCTCAAAGAGCAGCAGATCTTCCAGCACAGTAGTTTCAAAGCTTTTTACTGGATTCCTTTGGTACCAGCTCTGCTCATTTTTCCACCACCTAAATTAAGTGTGAATTCAGCAGTTCCCAGTCTTTTTGGTTGCTTTGCTCTCTGTTCAAATCAATCTCATGCTGCGTTGCTTCTTATTAGATGGGGGAGGAGGGGGAGGGGGGTTGGGAAGATGTAGGCCAGTAGACAGATAACCATCGTTATTCAGGGGGATCTTGCAAGCAGAACAAAGAATACCTTTGTGCACAAACCTGCTCAGGGCAGTCCTGGAGGTGACAGCTGGAAGACGCCAGGGAGGAAGCTCGGGAGGGTAACTTCACTCTGAGCTTCAGTGGGTATTCCCCGCCACACCCCTCCATCACCCATCCCGATGATCTGGGGGGCTGTGAACCGAGCAGATCCGCTGAGACCCAAGGGAGATCTGGCCTTTGGGACAACGTCCTTGATTATGGGTGCCGCATCTCAAAGCGGTGTGCTGCTCGGGCTCCTGGGCAGCTCTCTTCTCAGGCTCCCAAACCTCAGGAGCAGTCCTTGTAGCGTGGCTCGTTGTTTGTGACGTGGGGCGATGCTTGCCCTCCAGCAGAACTCAATCCAAGAAGCCACGTTCAAAGGACTTTTACAGGTGGAAGGTGCTAAATGAGAATCTTTACCATTTTGTGTAAGGTTCTGCATTCATAGTTCATACATTCCCTACAGAACCCCCCAAATGATAATGAAGGTATTTTTTAATGTTTCTAATCAAAATGGCAGTATTAGTCAGGTCTTCTGTCTGTAAGTCTCCTGTAAATGACATGTATAGAATTTGTTTATTCTTTTAAATGAGATAGATGCAGTATGTATTTTATATTTTTTTATGCTGGATGGAAACTATTTTGGTTTTATGGAGAAAAGTGTTTGTTAAAATTATTTCTCTTTTTGTAGAATATCAATAGATATTTTAATAACTGTCTTCTGAAAATGTACTGTTACTATATTTCAAATCACATAAAATAGATACAATTACAGTGCTACCAGAGTAAAATGAGCTTTGATAATTAATAGCTGTAATACTGTACACTTTGTATTTGCGTTTTTCGTAGATAAAAGCAGTTTGTAATCTAGCGCAGAGCTTAAGTTCAAGTTGTGTGTATGGAAATGCAGAATAATACATTTCTTAATAAAAATGTACAAAATATGTGCTTTTAATGTGGACTTCTACAGTCTGGTTGAGGGGCAGGTTTTGTATTTTCAATGAGTGGTGATGTGCCATTTCTTAATAGTTTAAAAAATGTTCCTTTCTCCTCCGTTTTTTTATGATAATAGAATATTTTTCCCTGGCAAAGACAATTAATGTTCTAAAATAGGTGCTGCTCCTGAAAGCCTGCCTAGATGGCAGTATCCACTCATGTAACCTGTGCTCAAGGATGGCGGCTGTTTAAAGTGTGCTGTAGGAAAACGACATGTAGTTCTAAATTGGACAGGAAGGTGTATGCTGTTACATACAAATAACTGTGTCTCATTAAATTCCTTAATAATGCAATCCAAGGACAAGTCATATTTTCTCATTTTAAACCATTTAGATCTCTTAATTAGATTAATTAGATTATGCAAAAAATGTGTGGAGGAATAATCTCAGATTTAACCTGGGCAGTGATTGTTTCACTCTGAGTAACTCCTCCTAAAGCAAAAATCATGTCAGTACTCCTTGCTGACAGTCCAGAAAATTAGTAATCTATCTAGTCATGCTCATTTAACACTAATTGCTGGAAATACTTATGGTACATATTTTAATGTTGGATCCTGAGACTGGAATTCAAGACAGACATACACAGCCTTCGTGGGATCCCAGATTTATTAACTGCAAATGAAAGACTTGTGTACTCTTCTTCTGTCATCTAGCTCAGTGAAGACTATAATGCCATAACAACCTCGTTGTAATAAACAGTGCAACAATTAATAAAAATTGGATTTAAATCTCTAGAGGTGTTCTCCCTCGTGGAAGTGCACGTGTTTATTAAGAGGATTAGCTGGTAGTGCATTCTCACTGCAGTAGCCAGGAGCCTTGACACAATGACCTTCCTCTTCTACGGTCTGATAATCAATTCTGAGCTCATGAATCTTTTCAGACAGCTCGTTTGCTCCCATAGCTAAAAAACGGTGTTCCCGGTGCACTGGTGTGTTGCAGAAGCTCTGTCCTAGCCACGTAACTTCAGAGGCAGCAACTGAAAGGAATCCATTCAGCAAGCTGGCAGAGATTGTTATCACAGCAGCTCATGGGGTTCAGCGAGCATTACATGTTCATAACAAAATAAGCTGACACAGTCTGTAAGCTCTGCCAGGTTTCCGCAGACCCGAAGTAAGGATACAATTCTTTTGTCGCTCTTTTGCTGCTTAGCTGCTCCACGAGATACGTGTTTGTCAGATATGGGAGATGTACGTCTGGCTTCAGTATAAACAAGATTTTTAGAACTTCATTCGAATGCTTATGCTTTGGCTTTGAGTACCGTTTGAGGCACGCTGGGGTATCCTGCGTGTTATCCACATCTCCAGCTGCTGCTTCCCTAGGTCCTATGTGATATCTGCCAAGCCCGTGTGTATCTTGGGTGCCTTAGGGCATCTCAAATGGCACTGGATGCCTGCTTTCAGGCATCTGAATGGAGCCCTTTGTTTCCTGGGGTTTGGATAGCTGATGTCTGACTGTTTTCCTATGGGATTGCGTAAAATGCTAGCACTCAGATTGGTGCGTGCCTCAACTTTCAAAATAAATTGCTCAAATCCCCAGTAAGCACCTAAGGTGGGTAGATGCCATGTTGTGCATGTGGAAGAAAGGATTGTCTCCTGGGTGACAGGCTGATGCGGAACTGGGCAGTTAGTTCCTTGAGGCAAATAATTTAGAGCAAAACCCCAGCCTTATGAATGCCCCCTGGCTGGAGTCGGTTCCTGTAACTCACAAGGTTTCGGATGAATATCTGAAGATAACACGTGGGCAGGACCTGGTTCAAGTTCAGCAGAGCCATGAGCAGCAGTGGTCAGTTAATGGGAGCTGAGGGAGCTGCAGTCCCCTCGCTTCCTGCAGGAGCTGTGTGTGGGACTCAGCTCGGGATTAAGCCACTGAAATTTAAGTGTGGAGCTATAGGTGTGTATGGCCGAGCAGAGCAGTTAAGCTAGTAAGCGCCTTCAGGGTGACCTGACTTGTTCTATAGGCTGAACTGACCCTACGGACTGCCTCGGTCGGGTAAGTTGTCCATGCACAGTGCCACAGGAGATGCTGTAAGGTGTCCTGCCTGGCCTGCGGCTGCTCGTCTAGAAGGGTTCAGGTCTCCCATCAGTCCTCAGTCACACCTGCCAGCTCAGGTGTATTTTTCATGCCCTGAGTCATCTCGAGCATCATTGCTAGATGCTGGTGTGGGCAACAGGATCTAATTCTCCACTGGCTGTGTCTGTGATGGGATCACAGCCCAAATGCGGGTGTTAGATGCCTAACTTCAGGTGGAATTGCCCATTCCATGCTTTTGGCACAGGGGAAAGAGAGCAGAGAAGTGGCACACGAAGCATTAGCTGGATGCTGGGGCCACACACTAACTGGTGCAAGAAGCTGGGAGAAGATGGTCTGTCCCTCAGTCCAGCTGCTATAAGCAGCAATAGCCTAACCCCTGGCTAACATCACATTGGTCATCCCCAGCCCTCTAACAGCAAGAACTAAGCCTGCTGATGAACAGAGCTGATTGATTGATTGATTTGATCATTAGCCTATTTCATATTATAAGTGTAACACTGAATCAACCCCAGCTTTGGGTTTATGTCGCTTGCTTTGGAATTGTTTTATGGTCTTTGGCTACATTTTTAAGCCCTATTTTTTTCTGGAGGGAAAAAAAAAGGCAAAATAATTGTACTACACTAAAAGTAGAAACTAGTCTCTGTTCTTGCTCATGTCTGTCTGTGGATAACTATTCTACAACTGGCAGTAATGTGCCACCATGGTTTGAAAAGGACTCCCTGTTGATTCCTGCATCTAATTAATTACTTTTATATGATAATTAAATAATTCCTCTTTACTTGCACTCCGTTTGCTTGTAGCTGGCTACTTGCTGAAAACAGAAATTGTCTGAATTTATGAGGCCTGTGGTTGCACTCTTCTTGCAGCATTTGCGAGCTCTGCTGTGCCTGAGCCGCTGCCGGTCCCAGTTTCGTGTGGTCTCGGGCAGCTCTGAGGTAAGCGACCTGGGCTGCAGGCAGATGGTTTCGTTCCAGCACC